TTCCCACTTCTTTTCCCGCTTCTTTTCCCGCTTTTCCCACTTCTTTTCCTGCTTTTCCCACTTTTTTTCACACTTCTTTTCCTGCTTTTCCCACTTCTTTTCCTGCTTGTTTTCCCACTTTTCCCACTTCTTTTCCCACTTTTCCTGCTTTTCCCGCTTCTTTTCCCGCTTTTCCCACTTCTTTTCCCGCTTTTCCCACTTCTTTTCCCACTTCTTTTCCTGCTTTCCCCACTTTTTTCCTGCTTCTTTTCCCACTTTTCCCACTTCTTTTCCCACTTTTCCTGCTTTTCCCGCTTCTTTTCCCGCTTTTCCCGTTTCTTTTCCCACTTCTTTTCCCGCTTTTCCCATTTTTTTTCCTGCTTCTTTTCCCACTTTTCCCTCTTCTTTTCCCGCTTCTTTTCCCGCTTTTCCCACTTTTTTCCCGCTTTTCCCACTTCTTTTCCCGCTTTTCCCACTTCTTTTCCTGCTTTTCCCACTTTTTTTCCTGCTTCTTTTCCCACTTTTCCCACTTCTTTTCCCACTTCTTTTCCCACTTCTTTTCCCTCTTTTCCCACTTCTTTTCCCACTTCTTTTCCCGCTTCTTTTCCCACTTTTTTCCCCGCTTTTATCCCCAGGGATCGGCGGGAGCGGCACCGCTCCAAGAGCCGGGATGGGACGCGCGGGGACAAATCCGTGACGATCCAAGCGCCGGGAGAGCCTTTGCTGGACAACGAATCCACGCGGGGGGACGAGAGGGTGAGCGGGGAAAGGTTTGGAATCCCGAGGGAGGGATCCCGGGAGCTTCCCGGCGGAATTTCCCGGCGGAGCGGTCCAGCCGGTCCAGCCGGTCCCTGGAAAAGGAGAGAATGAAAGGAGAGGCGGCTCCGCTGGCGCCTCGGGAAGAGCCGGGGGTGGAAAACGCCCCCCACCGGGATCCGACCCCGACGGATCCAAACCTCCGGGATTCGCCCCAAATTCCCGGCCGGATGGAAGCAGAGGAGGCTGCCCCGCCCCAGCGGTCCCTGGTGCCCCTCATTCCCGAATCCTGGAATTCCTCCAAGCCCCATCCCGGCCTTTCATCCTCTCCCAATCCGCCCACGCCGGCGGCTCCGGCGGCTTTTCCTGGGAATGGCGCTCCCAAAGCCGCCCTTCCCGTCCCTCTGGAAAGCCCCGGGCTCCGGTTTGCCCTTCGCAATGAAATCCGTGGAATGGTGGCGTTGCTCGGAAGGGACCTCAAGGATCATCCCATGGGCAGGGCCCCACCTCCCCGCTGTCCCAGGGCTGGAATTGGGCACTTCCAGGGATGGGGAATCCGTGGAAAAACCCGCGCCCGCACAGGGAAGAACTTCCCGGTTTTCCCGCAGAAATTTGTCGGGGAAAATTCCCACGCGGAAAAAAATTCCAGGAAACGCCCCGAGCGCCCAAACCCGGGATGGGGGAAAGCCCCACGGACGGGGGTGCGGGAAGGAATCCAGCAGGGAAGGAATCCGGGATTTTTGGAATGGGAGAGAGGGAGGTTCTGGAGCAGGGAAGGTCCCGTCCGGAGCGATTCCCGACGATTCCCGACGATTCCCAGCGCGGGGGCGTGCCGGGCGTGTTCCGTCTGGCCCCGCCAGCCCGGGGGGGGTTTGCTGGGAAGTCTGGGAGCTTCCCGATCCCAACGCTGCCGGAGCCGGAGCTTTCCCAGAGGGAAAAAATTCCCGGCGGGATCGCCGCTCTCCCGGTTCCGGGCTGAGGTTCCGCCACCCCCGAGGAGGGCGATGGCTCCGGGAAGCGCTCCCGGCTTGGAGGTGGGATGGGGGTTTGGAGCTGGGAATGCAGCTCTGGGATTGGAGGAATTCGGGAAGGACCCCTGGGAATGTCCCCTGTCCCTGTCCAGGTGGCAATTCCTGGTTTGGAGGGGTGAAGGGTGGGAGCTCCCGGAGGTCAGGTGGCCACCTGGGACACGGAGCCACCCTTTGGAATGTCCCCTGTCCCTGTCCAGGTGGCAGTTCCTGGTTTGGATCTGTGGTGGGTGGGAGGTCCTGGAGGTCAGGTGGGACACGGAGCCACCCTTTGGAATGTCCCCGGGAGCTCCTGGAGGTCGGGTGGCCACCTGGGCCAGGTGGGACATGGAGCCACCCCTCAGGATGACACCTGGGTGCTGGGTGGGAGCTCCTGGAGGTCGGGTGGGACACGGAGCCACCTTTGGAATGTTCCTGGGAGCTCCTGGAGGTCAGGTGGGACACGGAGCCACCTTTAGAATGTCCCCGGGAGCTCCTGGAGGTCAGGTGGCCACCTGGACCA